TGCATTCCCTCTAACAGCTGCTGTCAGAGGGCTGGGGAGTCAGAAACACCCTGGCAAGCCACCCTGAGACTAAAATATTTGCGGCAGATAATCTGGAGGTGGATCGTTGAGAAAGGACTAGGGCGAGTGTCCAGATACCAGCGAGGAAGCTCTGGCTCATGGTAAATCTCACATTGTATCAAGGAGAACGTGCCAGGTAACCGGGTGGAGAATGGCACTCACCTCGAATTTGAGTCAGTGAATTCTGATGTTTGGTGGTGCTGGTCTAGTCATAGCTGTCTTTCAAATTTGTCTCTTCTTCCACAGTTTAATACCATCTAAGCTTGGAATTTTAGCCTAAGTTTGGGGCTCCGGATAGACCCACCCCTTTTCTAGCACCCCCCTTTCCCATGCCAGTACCCAGTCTCATTCAAGCCAGTGCTGATGGTGAGTTTGTTGTGTAGCCAGTGGGGCCTGGTGTGTTCAGCCCCCGGGGTGCCAGGCCTGCTGTGTGCATGTGTCTGCTGCGGGCTGACCAGGCCCATAGCGCCAGGACCCAGCCCTTGAGGAACTTGCATTCTGGCTGCACCAACACGGCTGGCTCCCGTGAAGCTGTCAGAAGGCCCAGCTAGAACTGTGCACAATAGAATGTCGGATGGAATGGGGCTACACCATGCACCACTGGCCGCAGTGCATTTATGCAAATGAGCAGGGGCCCCTCCTCAAGACACCCCTCTGCCAGCCATCCGAAAATATGATAAACGGTGCACACATGTGTGATGTCCCATGTGTGAACAGCGTCTCCTGGAGTTGCACGGTGTACACCCTGCTTCAGAGGGCCCGCCTCCCAGTAACCCCAAGTGACCCCAGGCCCAGGGAGGAAGCTGAGGTGCCTGTCCTGCGGGGCTGCTCAGGAGGGTGTGGCTGCTGCAGAGGACAGATCTGGCCTCCTCCGACTGGGTGGGCTGTGCCATTCTGCTCCCTGGTCACAGCTACCTGCCAGGGTAAACAGTCCTGGCTCTCCCCGCACGTGAGCACTGAGCCTCCTGGTGCGCCCATGGGTGGGGCCATGGCAGTCTAGACCCATGATCAAAGTAGCCACCATTCAGGTATTTCCTCACCTCCCCGGTGCTCCTCAGCTCTCTCTTCTTTCTCGCTCTTCCCTCCCCTCTTTAAACTGGGGGAGGGGAGAAGGAAGAGGCTGTCTTTGATCTCAGTGGAGGAAAAAAGTCTGTTCTGTTCGGGCTTTTGGCTAACACAACAAACAGTGTTTAAAATTTAACTTTGCTTAATTAATTAGTAATTCTGTTTAATGCTGTCTGATCTCCCTCCAAAAGGTATTTTGAAGCTTGAGAAGGGAACATCAAAGGGAGCCGGGTGAAGATGGTCAAGTAATGCATTTAATCTGGCAGTTGCTGGGGGTGGAGAGATGCCAGGTTGGGAACTAATGTGGGAGGGAGCCACCATCTGGTAAACAGCGCCAGACGGCTCCTTGGCTCTCCGTGGCCATTGCTGTGGCTCAAGGAGGCACAGGAACAGCTCCCGGGAGTGCCTCGCATTGCCCTCTGCACAGGCTGGGGGTTGGTTTTAAGAAAGCAGAGTTGACTCTTTCTTCCATGACTGCTGGGTATAGTTGGGCAGGTTGTATACTGCACAAGGGCTTCCAGGCAAGTAAGCGAGCAGCCGGCGAGGTCAAGCCCACTCCGTGCTCATTGTGCACGTACCCTCTTGGGGTGGAGGTCTGCATTTGGGTGGAGGTCTGCATTTGGGGTGGAGGTCTGCATGTCCCTAAGCGCATCACAGGCTTTTTAGTCAGGGGCCAGGAGAGCACGTCTTTCAGGCTTTGTGGGCGAACAGCCTCCTGGTTGCTATGCTGTTGCCCAGCGTGTGTAAGCGTGACTGTGGCCCCATAAAACTTTATTTACAAAAGCAGTCTGTGGGCTGGGTTTGCCTCACGATGGGATGTGATTTGCCAATCGCTGCTCCAGGTCGCCAAAGGAAATTCATGGGCACGTGACAGGCTCTGCTCTCCTCCTTACTCTGTCCTGCCCCTTCCTTTTCCTCCTGCCTTTCCCCCTTTTCTTCTTCCAAATCAGCAGTATCTCCTGTTACCATTGTGACTTGCAACTGAAGTGTGATCAGTCTCCCTGAAATTATGACCCTCAAAGACTATCTCTGGGGGAAAAACTCTCTGGTCTGAAGTAGAAGTAAAAACACAGAGAATGGAGCCTGCTTCTGGGTCCAAGTCCATCTCCCCAAAAAGGTGCTTCTCTTCAGTGCTTGGCTGGACCTGGGTGGCTGCAGCAGACACCCTCACTGTCCCCCCTCCTGCCTGCGCACCCCCGTGGGTGAAAAGGCGGGGAGTTTGCACAGGGGGAGAGGCTTCATATGTGGAGGTAGCAGCAACCTGTGCCCCTGGCTGTGGGGTCTGCCTGGCTTCACATTGGACCAGGGGCAGGACCTCTGAGAGGGTGAAAGGTCATCTTTGGTGGAGTGGAGGGGAATTGTCCTCATTCCTGGCCCCAGGTTCCCAGTCAGGGGGGCTCCCACCTCTGCCACTTATCTGTGCCCAGGCTCATGCTGGGAAGGGATCACCTGGTGGGTGTTGGGGCGGTTTCTGAGCTGGGATAGGATAGGGACCTGCTGATGAAGAGAAGAAAATGCAGGACTTCTGAAGAGGGGAAGGGGCTGGAAGGGATGTTTTCCATCCCCCTGAGAGAAGAGGTAGGATGGGCAGACCCAAGGGTGCAGGGGCTGTTTGCATGCATGTGTGTTGGGGGTGGGGGGGTGCTCCAAAGAGGGAGAAAGCAGGGACAGAGGTTTCTTTTCTTTGGGTTTTATCAAGTGGAACTTGAAAGGCAACATTGAACCTGAAGGTGGTTTTCTGATAACTTCCCTTTGAACTTGAAGTTTGGTTTCGATAAGCCTGGCCGGCTTACATCTCCAGCCAGGACCTCTGCGGAGGGAGGCAGCAGCTTTGAAGATGGAGCTGGCCTTTGTTTTTCTTTCTTCTTTTTCTTCTTTTTTCCCTCCTCGGGGAAGTGGTGGGGGGTGATTCGAGGATGATGCAAGCCATGAAATCACTCTGGTTTCTCTAGTACGGCAGTTTTGGAGTGAAAGGAATCATTTGGGTCTGGGTTACCAGCAGGGTAACCTACAACCAACAAATGCACCAGCATTAATTGAGCACTTACTGCATTCAGGCCGCTGCACTAAGTAGGCACACTGTACAGACTTGGTGACTAAGATGCAGAGAAGTCTGGCACCTTGCCCATGGCTGCCCAGGCCTCTTGGTGGCAGAAGCAGGAGATGAGCCAGGATATAGGCCCAAATATGCCCTCTCAACCTCGACACCCCACAGAGTTCAGTTGCCGCCATGGAGATGCTGGTTCTTGAGCAGAGGCCTCACTTGGTGCTGGGAGTAAGGAGCAACCAGGCTCCTCAGCCTTCAGTTAAGCCTCTAGACATGTTGCCTCATTTGTTGCCTCTTAAGTGGAGGGGGTGGTGGCACACATTGCCCTTGGCCTGGTGGAAGTGGCTGTGCATCATCCACCCGGCCCCATGACGGTGACAGCTCTGGCCCAGAAGGATACCAGCAGATTTATGATGGAGGCATCAGGCTGAATCAGGTTGTATGCTTGGCTAATCACCCACCTGAGTTCCCTGCGCCTGGGGATCAGGGCTTGGGGATCAGAGCTCAGGGCTCGGGGCTCTGGTCACACCCAAGAATACCTCCTGGCCACTGAGGTGTTTGCTTCGGAGGAGCAGGGAGTGCAGGACTCAGCTATATCCACTGTATCAGCAGTAGTCCGCGTCAGTGACCGCTTCCCCTTCCATGACCCTCTAGCAGGGAGGATGCCAGGGGGCTCCGAGGAGCCAGACCATCTTTTAGGTCTGTCCTCATTGGCCTCATCCTGTCAAACCACTAGGGAGGAGCTGCAGTCAGCAGGGCCTCTAGCTGGAGCCCTTGCCAGTTCTGGGGAGTTGTTGCCTCGTTGTAGAGACCATGGGGCTTGGAGGCTCCCTGAATACTCAGGACATCATTTCCCCCTAACAGGGTGAGGAGAAGGAGGAGGGCAGTGGAAAGGAGCTGGGCTAATCAGCTGCCTTCCCGTCCCACCCTGTCTGGCCTGATGGCCCGGCTCATCCTTATCTCAAGTTCCTCTCCTCCCTGTCCTGCCCCACCCGGCTGCTGCACGTGATAAAGGGCCTCTGGGTCTGCCTGACTCCAAAACCTCAGTTCTCAGAAAACTTAGCTACAGACTGTCCCAGTTCCCCAAAGGAAGTGGGGCTGCATCCCACACTCCTGCCACTCACGCCCTGGACTCTGTAGCTGGGCCCTGGCTCTTAACCCTTTACAGATTTCTGGGGGGCTACAGTCACCCCATTTTATGGTTTGGGGAGCTGCTGCACACACCGTAGGGTCAGGACCCAGAAAGACAACAGAGAGAGCCGATGGACAGTGCATGTTCAGTCAGCCCTGCCTTGGGCCTGCCTGGCACTGTGAGGTCACTGCATCATCTTCATGCACAGATGGGTGCCCACGGATGCTCTAGCTAACGGTGGGGCCGCTAACAGTAAAGTGGGAGGGCAGAGCCCAGTCCCCCCTGGGAGTCTCTGCCGCACCTCCCCAGCAGCCACTCTGGGGGCCCGGTTGGTAAAGCTGTGTGGATAGGCATGGTGGAGCAATGGGGGTGGGAGATGCAGAACCCCCACTTAGTTTCCTGGCCGGTGGCCTTGTTTCCCCAGGGCCTTGCCTTCCAAAGACAGTCCACCCACAGTGAAGGCCACTGCCCAGGAGTCTCAGCTCCTCATGGGGGCCTCGGGGGCCGCCTTCAGAGCTGGTAGAGAGCAGAGTAGTTTGACTAGAGTCCTTACTTTCCTGGCCAGCCCTGGCGCCCTGGTGGGGGCATCCTTCACTCAGGCCCCGGGACAAAGCCACGGCCAGTGGTGGGTCCAGCCTGGCATCTGGTCAGGCACAAGGTCTTGCACTCACGCCTTCTCCCTGGTCTCCCCCACAGTGGCCCTGCCTCCAGAGAAGACCGACGGGCTGGCCAGCGGGGATGAGAAGAGGGTGGAGAAGGCCAGCGAGTCTTGCCCTGGCTCTAAGAAGCAGCTGAAATTTGAAGTAAGTTTCCTCTCCCGGTGCTGGGGCTGGAGACAAAGGTTTTCTCTTCTCAGTGGTGCTTTTCGCAGAGGGAAGCGAGGCCTACCCGATGTGCAGGCCCTCCCCTCCTGCATGACAGACCCCTCTGTAGGGGCTTCCTCCAGCCACATCTGGGGCCGCCCAGCTCAGCACAGGCCCGAGCGTGCTGTGTCCACCCTCTCTGCCAGGCCCCCTCTCCATGTGGGGTGCAGCCTGGAAGGTGGGGTGGGCGTGAGAGCAGACAGGAAGAGCTGACTCTGTGGTACTGCTGCCGCCTCCCTCGCTGGCTCAGCTTCTTGCTGTTGAAACCGTCCCTTCCAACTCACCAGGCTGTTCTGCGTAGCATGCAGGGGCTCTCAGGTGGGTGGACAACCAGGAGGTGGAGGCCTTGGCCAGGCCCCTGGCTGGGTCTGGGCCTCTGCTTCCCCGTGTGAGGGCCACAGCAGGGAGCTGGCTCTCCGAGCTCGATCTGGCCGCCCTGCGCCCTAGACTGTGCGTTAAGCTCCTTCTGTGCACCAGGCCCTCGGGCCTGCCCTCGTGGGGCTGACAGGCTTTTCTTCACTCTCCTTTCCCCTCCCACCTGCCTTTCCATTTCCCCTCGTGAGACTACAGGTGCGTAACTCCAGAGCCAGACGCTGGGGTGCTCGTCAGCACCATCAGCTGATATGTCTGAAGTGCTCAGAGGGGCTTCCATATGTGTCACTTCTTCCTTCCAGCCAGTGACAATCGGTGCTCTTGCTTCACAGAGCAGAGTGTGGTGAGGGGGACAGAGCAGGGGCCCTTCCCAGTGACTGTGCCGTCCGTGACTGATGGGCATCTAGGAGCTGGGGAGCGTGGACCACCTGTCAGGCAGAGTAGTTATGGGTGCCTTGGGGGAGGAGCAGTGGCTGCAAGCAGAGTCTGAGCTGAGCCTCTGAGCGCTGAGCACAGGGTAGGCCTCATAGTTGAGAACGGCGGGCACCGGGGATAAGGCAGCTGTGGCAGAGGGAACAGCAGGAGCACAGATCTGGAGACTTCTCGTGCTGGCACATTGCGCGGGCATGACAAGCTGCATTCGTGTGGCCCGCATGGGGGTGGCAGGAGAGAGAGGAAGATACAGCAAAGGGGGTACAGCAGGTCACTTGGGACCCTGCAGGAGCTGAGGGGGACAGGCAGCACCTGGTCTGCTTCTTCCTGGAGCCCACCTGGTCCCAGTGGAACTTTGGGATTGCGTGGTGAGCTGAGGGCCGAGCCCGAGGCAGAGAGAAGGCTCAGGCGCAGGTATTTTACTTTCCTGGAAGCCTGTGGGGGTCTGTTTTTGGAGAGGGGCTGCGGGCTGCCTGCAACCCAGGCGAAGGGCTCACCTGAGAGCCCAGGTTATGGAGGGACCGGAGGAGCCAGGACAGACTCAGTGAGCCAGAAGGAGTTCTCGAGTTTCTGAATCAGACCACGCTGTCTTGGAGCCTAGTGGGGGGCAGGGAGCAGGGAGCGCCGCGTGTTGGTGGGGGCACAGGAGCGGCGTGGGTTGTGCCACATGAAACGGTGCCCGGAGAGTAGAGCTGCACTTGGCAGGTATCAGATGGGCATGTCACAACTGAGGGAAAGCCGGCTTTGAACTCAGCATGGTCCGCCCGAGCACTGCTGGAGGGCTGGGGCTCTGGGCTGTGCCAGCTCCATGCTTGGGGCCACGCTGCAGGCCTTTGGAGGCCGGGGCTGGGGGCTGGGCTTCCTCAGGTGGGGCCTGTGCGTGGCCCAAGGAGAAGCTGGGTGTGGAGCAGGAGGGCCTGGGAGCATCTATTTTCTGTACATAGAATCTTATCATAAAGGCATTTGTGAGACCTGTCCCCGAACGGCCGGCCGCCCTAGGACTCACTGGTGTTTGCTCCCCTGTGCCCGGCCGCCACGGCTCAGCTCTGAGTGCCTGCGGAGTGTGGGAGGGGTGATGCAGAGTCAGTGTCAGACTGATCATCGCAAGAGACGTTGGCAGCTGCTGCGTGAATCAGGCTCTTACATACTTGTTTTCAGGTCCCCCAAGACCACGCGACCAGGACTTGGGAGGTGATCCCAGGAGCAGGGGAGAGGGAAGCCAGTACTGAGTTAGCGGGCGGGTCACTGCCCGGCGCGGCAGGGCTCAGGGCCCCTGGGGACTCTCCCACAGCTGTCTGGGATGTGCTCAGATTTGTCCCCAAGGGTCAAGGAGGCTGCGTGGGGTATTCTCTGGTGCTGGCCCCTCCTTGTTCAGGTTCCTCTGGGTATTCAGCCTTGCCCTGGGACACTGCCTGGTGCTGGAGGTGGGGGTTTGGAAACTGGCCACCACAGCTACAGGGAAAGGCTGAGGGGTCACAGGGTGGGACTGCGATGCTCCCAGCAACATTATGAGATAGACACTGTCATTTCCCACACTTTATATGAGGGAAAACTGAGGCACAGAGAAGCCAAGCCCAGAGTCACTCGGCTGTGGAGCTCCAGCATGCTGCCCAGGGCTGCCTCCGGAGCTTCAGCTTTTAGTGTCATGCTCTCCTGCCCACTAGGGCGGGTCGCAATGTGGGGGTTCTCCTGTGGCTTCCTGTGTCACCATCTCTCTGCCTTCCAGTAGCTTCTAGCCCTTGGTCCAAGTTCCATCCTCCCGAGGCCACAAAGCCTCTGTGAGCCTAGAGAGCCTGGTGCCCCTGTAGGCACCTCTCTGGGACAAACCACCGACTGCCACCTCCCCCGGGCCCCTCATGTCTTGGTAACGACCAAGAGGGGCAGGACATGAGGGGCAGGGCAGGACAGTGGGGCGATGGCAGCCGTGACCTGGGCCCGGGCACCCCACAGTCATGTTGCTGTGCTGGATGACCGCCGTGTGTGTGTCTGTCCAGGAGCTGCAGTGCGACGTGTCCGTGGAGGAGGACAGCCGGCAGGAGTGGACCTTCACCCTGTATGACTTTGACAACAATGGCAAGGTCACCCGAGAGGTGAGTGCCCTGCCGTGCCACATCCTGAGACACAGGGTGCTGTCCTGGGCCTCCGCTGCAGTCCCTTCTCGTCTCCTTCTGGGGCCACTGCAGTGGCGGGGCCGGGAGCGTGGCTGCTGGGAACTTCAGGCAGGAGTGGGGAGTGGGGAGAGGAGACAGGAAGGAAGGGGCAGCTGGCTCCCTGGGGGAAGGCTGCACAGAGCACCCAGGCCTCCCCACCTCAGCCAGTCTGCCCAGGAGCCGGGGCCAGGTGGGCATCCCAAGCTGTGCCCCCTCCGCCCACACAGCAGGGAGCACCCGAGGGCACTGCCAGCACCTGTTCACGGCCACTTGGGTGGTGACTGGATTGGTCAGGGGGCTGGTGGCAGCTCCAGTCTCGACACCGAGGACCCTGCCAGCTGCCTTCAGCATTCATTTCTGGTCAGAAGGTACAGAGGAGCCTCACGTGCTGACCGCGGGAGGTTTGTCCCCATCTCAGAGGAGGAGGCTTGGAGGAGCTGTGGGGGACACTGTTTTCGGAGTCTGCACTCTGCCCTCCTTTCCCCTTGGCAGCAAGAGCACGAGCAAGAAGAGGCTGTCCAGGAGGACGCCCCAAGAAATTGTTCACCAGATCATGTCTTCTTGCTACCGAGAGCGAGGAGATTGGCTTCCTCTCCAGGAAGGACCAGCCTGGTGTCTCCCCTGGCCTATTTTTAGCCCAAAGCCACTCCTCAAATCTGGCTATAAATACTTTTCCCCTTCGCATCTCTGGCCATCAGCATGCAGAACCCTCCATCTCTGCAGGCACAGCCTGGGCCTGGCATCTGGGCTGACTTTGCAAGTCAGAAGAAAGTGCCTGTCCATCCTTGTTACCTGTGCAGTAAATCCCCCAGCCCCTCTCCCGTGAGTGGGCCGAGCCATCGGCAGAGCTGACCTTGCAGCGGGATCGCCAAAGCGCGCTTGTGCCCCACCCTGCGCAGGCCGGAGCTGCTGAGTTCGCACACCAGGGCTCCAGGCCTGGCCTGTGCGCTTGGAGGGTGACGTTGGTGGACTTTAGCCGCCTCAGCTTTAAAATGGAGACAATCTGCCCGCTTCGTGGGCTTTCCGAGGTGGCGAGAGAGTGTGGGCAAGCGTGGCTGTGTGGAGACTCTGGGGAGGAGAGAGGGAAGGCAAGTCCTCTGCGAGCTGGGGCCACCAGGAGAGCCAGCGAGAGACGGGCTGGCACCTGGGTCAGAAACCAGTGGCCCCCACAATCCCAGTCTAGCCCCCCATAGCCTGGACCAACTCCCCAGAGGATTTTGTTAAAAATGAAAAGAGCACAGGCAACAAAAGTAAAAATAGGTAAACTGGACGTCACAGTTGATGTCATCAAAGGGGTGCGCTCAACAGTGAAAGTGAAGTGAAGAAAACATTTGCACATTGCATATCGGATGGGGGTTAATGCCCGCAGTGTATAAAGAGCTCCCGCCACTCACCAATAATAAAACAATGCAAGGGGCGTAAGAAGACATCTTTCCAAAGAAGATAGACAAACAGCCAGTGAGCACATGAAAACATGTTGACTATCGCTGGAGAAATGTAAATCCAAGCACAGTGAGAATCCACTTCACACCCACTAAGGTGGGGATGTGAAATGGTGCAGCTGCTGTGGAAGACAGTATGGTGGCTCCTCAGGAAAGTGTGTGTAGAATTATTCTACCCTAGAACAATCTAGAAATTCCACTTCTGGGTATGCAACCAACAGACCTGAAAGCTGGGTCTTGAAGAAATACTTGTATGCCTGTGTTCGTCACAGCATTTTCACAATGGCCAAAAGGTGGAAGCAGCCTGAGTGTCCATCAACACACGAATGGATGAACTGTGGTATATAACTACATGGAATACTACTCGGCCTTGAAAAGGAAGGAAATTCTGATACTTGCTACAACATGCATTGGTCTTAAAGATATTATACTAAGTGAAACAAGCCAGTCACAAAGAGATGTATAACATACGGCTGCACTTACAGAGGCACCTGGCATAATCAAATTCACAGGGACAGAGAGATGGTGGGTGGTTGCCAGGTTTGGCAGGGAAAGAAGATATGTAGTTGAAACAAGTGAAATAAGTTGCCATTGTGTAAGATTCTGAAAATTTAACAGGACATTCTGGATTTCTGGCTTCTCTGAGGTCACACAGATTGTGTTGTCACTGGCTGGTCAGCTGAGCAGATGCTGCTCCCGCCTAAGGGTGCAATCAGCTTCTGGCCACCCAGTCACCCTCTGCCTGGCTGTGGCAGTCCTTGGTGTGGCAGCTGTCTAAGAGCTTAGGGCTGGGAGTAAGGGGTTCCGCGGGGCAGGCAATTGATTGTCCATGGACCTGGCCTTCCGAGAACAAACACCTTTTCCAGAGGTTTCCAACATCATTTAAAGATAAAGCCTCCCCGCCCTCAATAAATGACCTTAGAAGAGTCCCAAAACATAGGGGGACCGAGGGAGGAGCCCTGGTCTACCCCTCCACACCCCAGTCACAAGTCTTTGAGCTAGCTCATGGAGCATGAGTTGCAAAGGAGATGAGATTTGGCCAACTTCTCACAGAATAGTTTGTCTTTAGGGCCACGTCTACCCTTATGTTTTCATTCAGAACTTGGTTCCTCAGGCCTGGGGCGATGCTGGCAAAGCCCCACTTCCAGTTCTCCCAGCCCACCTCTGTGACCACCTGTTGCTACCTGGTGGTCAGCACGCGCCAGAAGAGCCTTCTCAGTGGCTGGGAGCTGCCTCAGCTCTGCAGGACAGCTTGGAAGTGCAATGGAGACGCAGCGTCCCGGGCTGCCCTCTGCACCAGCGCGGGATGGGTTTCCACAGGCGGCTCCACAGTCGTGCAAGGGCCCCACATTGTGAGCCAGTTGCCCACTCCATACCTACTCGCCCCCTCATTGACTCTCCTGCTCCCCCACTCCAGCTTCCTGGGCGCCCCCCTTCTCTGAACCAGGGCCGAATCGGCACCTCGGGTTCTACCAGGTTCGAAGGTGCCTGTGGTCTCTGCTTCTCCCCACCAGGACATCACCAGCCTGCTGCACACCATCTATGAGGTGGTTGACTCCTCGGTCAACCACTCCCCCACGTCAAGCAAAACTCTGCGGGTGAAGCTCACCGTGGCCCCTGATGGCAGCCAGAGCAAGAAGAGCATCCTTCTTAATCACCCTGGTGAGGGGCTGGAGGCCACCTGGCTCTCGGGAAGGACCAAATCCCCACTGGGGAGCAGAGGAAGGGTGTCCCGGGGTGGAGGCGTTGGGCAGATCCTTAAAGGAATAAGATTTGGAAAGGAAAATGAGGGAAGGGATTCCAGATGGAGGCCCTAGCGTAAGCAAAGTGTTGGAGGTGGGCGTGGGGTGGCGAGCAGCCAGAACCAAGGCCTGTTGTGATGGGGGTGGTGAGCAGAGCCTTGAGGGACAGGTGAGGAGTCTGTGAGGCTGGGGGAGGAGGTGACAGGACAAGCGGCTTCTTAACTCCTCTAGTCCTGGCTCAGAGAGCCCTTCCCGCAGAGCTGTGGTGAGGCTGCCGTGGGCCAGTTTGGAAGGGCCGCATGCCAGGCACTGGGAATGCCTGGGCGGGGCTGGGAGGCTGGCGAGCTCAGAGGCAGGCTGCTCACCTCACTGTTTCTTGGGTGGGACTCAGACCTGCAGAACACAAGGCCCAGAGCAGAAACCAGACCCACAGAGGAGCTGCGAAGCTGGGAGAAGAAGCAGCGAGCCCCCCTCAGGTATAATGGACATGGGTGGAGAGGGCAGCCCCGTGTGCCTGAGCACATATTGAGCGCCAACTGTGTACCTGCATCTGAGGGATTCTGAGCAGGAGGCTCCAGTCTTTGCCCTCCTAGAGGCAGTGATTTCAGAAGATAAGCTCACAAATCATGATTGAAAAAGAACTAAGAAAAAAAAAATACTCAAGCTGACTATAGGTCTGCATTGCTTTACCTAAAATGCTTTGGGCTCGATGTGTTCTGGAACCCAGCGTGGTTGGGTTCTAGCAGGTGCTGCTGGTATGTTGCTCATGTATCTATTTGGGGCCTGGCAGCACCTTGGGATTTAGCACCTGCTGATTGTGTAGGGAGACATATGAATATCCATACCAGGTGAGGTAGATGCCACAGCTACCTGGACCTCTGATCAGGGCAGGCTTGTTTCCGGGCCGTTTGGGTTTCAGACCTGGGTAAGGGGTTAGAGAGCACCTGTTACCTTCATCTGTTCTTTCTTCAACGGTAAGGAAGGGAAGGAGGGGACAGAGACAGTACAAAGAAGGGCCGTGAGTAAGCAGTGATGTGAGGTAGCGATAATATGGGGGCCTGAGGCTATTAGGAACATGGAACGGAGTTGACTGGAGTTTGAAAAGTCGTGGTTCATAGGGGGAGGAGACGGTGGTCCCAGCAGGGGAGGCGGCATGGTGTGGGGAAAGGGCTAAGGACCAGAGGTTTTCATGCTGGCGGCAGATGGAAGGGGCTGTGCTGGGGTACGTGGGGAGGAAGTAGGTTGAGGGGCATCCAGATCATGGAGGGCCTTGAAGGGGAGAGCAAGGGAGCCCAGAATCCTGCACTGGCCACGCCTCTTCCACCCCGACCCCATACACACGCGCTAGGAGGGCCATTCCGGACTTTGGGCCACTTGTGAAGTCTGCCAGCCTCGAGTGCAATAGCTCGGAGGCTTCTGCTCCCGTAACTCCTGGGAAACCAGGGCAGGTGTTAGGCCACCTGCCTGCGATGAATTCACAGGGCTTGGGGCTTCGGGGTATCATTAAGTGTTTGACCGGTAACCCCTCCCTTTTGCTATGGGCCTGTTCAAAGCAAAGTCCCTATCGAGTCTTTCCAGAAGGCCCAGGGAAGCCGGCAGGGTCTGTCTCTCCACGGGCAGGGTGGGAGATGGAGGCACAGACTGCCAAGATGACCTCTCCGTGGTGTCTCTGCTGCCTGTGGGGCTGCCCCACGTGCCCCCAGGCTGTGCCCACTGGCTCACTCACCGGCCTGCCACAGGTTCCAGGGTGACAGCCGTCTGGAGCAGTCCGGCTGCTACCACCATTGCGTGGACGAGAACATCGAGAGGAGAAACCACTACTTAGATCTCGCCGGGATAGAGAACTACACGTCCCAGTTTGGGCCTGGTAAGGGGGCTCCTGCACCTGCCAGGTGGGGCAAAGGGAGGGCGAGAGTGGGCGGTGGTCGCCGGTGGGTGGACAGGGGTGGCTGCTGTTCCGCCTGGGCTGGGGGCGGGCATACCTTTTATGGGACTGGTTAAGAGTCTTCTTGATGATGTTAAACTTAAGCATTTTAAAATTGAGGTAACACATGCACAAAGGTGAACAAAATCAAATAACATGTGAGGACCTACAATATAACAACAGTGACAGGTCACACCCACCCCAGCCCGCCCCGTCCAGCCCTCCCTGCCCTGTTCCCCTCTCAGTGAAGCAAACCACGCCGTCTGGTTCTGCTCTTGGCTTCCTAGCTCTTGCTAAGATACAGGCAGACAAAGCTCACGTAAGCTCACTTCCCCGACCCCCTTTCACCCTCCCTCATCCTCTGCTTCATTCCTCTGTGGGTTCGCTCTAGAAGTTAGGGGTGTGCCTGTGGACACTCCGGTGCCCTCAGTTGTCAGTGTCCCTGCCTGTGCTGGGGAGCTCTTAGGGGAGAACTATTTTTAAAGGCCTAACAGCCTTCCCCATGAGCAGATGGGGAAGAAATCTCCAGTGAGATCTCCCGCAAGACAGCGAGGACTGGTGGGGGGCGGAAGGGGACCTCTGACAAAGAAGGTCTTTATCAGAGAACTGGGACTGGGGTGATTTCGGGGACACAGTGCCGCACACAGGAGGTGCTCATGCAATATCCGTTGTGTTGGTTCTAGGCTCCCCGTCAGCGGCCCAGAAGTCAGAACTGCACCCCCGCACCTCCAACCCCACTCGGTCTCGCTCCCACGAGCCAGAAGCTGTGCACGTCCCACACCGAAAGCCCCAAGGCGTGGACCCCGGCTCCTTCCACTTCCTTGACACCCCATTCTCCAAGGTCTCCGAGGTCCAGCAGCGGCTGCGGGGCACCCAGGACGGGAGCAAGCACTTTGTGAGGTCCCCCAAGGCCCAGGGCAAGGGCGCGGGTGTGGGCCACGCGGCCCGAGGGGCAAGAAGCAAACCCCCTCTGGGACCCGCCATCCCGGCGGTGTCCCCTTCCGCCCACCTGGCCGCCAGCCCAGTCCTCCTCCCCACGCTGGCACCCCTCGGGCACAAGAAGCACAAGCACCGCACCAAGGAGAGCCAGCCGGGTGCCGGGGCCTGCAGGCGCCGCTGGCCGTGGGCGCCGTCGCGGGGCGGGACCAGGTGCGGGAGCTGCCCGCCGTGGTGGTGTACGAGAGCGCGGCCGGCCAGGCCGTCCAGAGACACGAGCACCACCACCACCACGAGCACCACCACCACTACCACCACTTCTACCAGACATAGAGCCCCCGAGCCCGCCTGCCATATGAAGGACCCCCGCCCCCAGACCCCCGAGGCATTATTATTCTATTAATTATTGTTATTATGGCGATTATTGTTATTAATAATTATTGTTACTCCACTAATATTCAGCTAGCCTCCAGGTAGGAGATATATGGAAACACAGAACTAAACTCTTATTTATATGTTGTGGGGACTGCATAACTCACCTGAGAACGGACTCTGGGTTTGGATGTGGCCTGTAGATGGCAGGAGCCCCCTGGGGTTCAGAGCTGCCGTCTCCAGGCAGGGGTCCCACACTCTTCCCAGCCCGGGGCGCCCTGGGCCCGAGCTCTGCCCCACCCCGTCTCTTCCAGGAGAACACCCTTACCTGGCCCGGCTTCCAGAAACCCTCGAAATCTCCGAGAAGATAAACAGCTGCTACCTCTTAGTATTATTCTGATTTTATTTTGCCCTTAACTGACTGTCATGTGCTACAAGGGATTTCAGCGGACTGCAGGCGCCACCTGGCCGGCTGTTGTGTTTTTATGTCCTGACCTAGAATCCTTAGCTGTCCTTCTGGCCTCATCTTCCACGCCTTTCCAGTGGGCTCTCGCCCATGTCCCAAACCGGTCCCTCTTTTCTGCCATGCACCACGTGAAAACACACTTCGCCTCCTCTTTTCCTCCCTGCTCCTCTCTTCTTTAAAAAGACGCACCTATTTAAAGCCTTCTCCTTTTGGAAACCTCTGGAGAGGGAACCAACTACATAAATAAGCATGGTTTTCCAAGATCAGGCAGTTGTGTGTTGTTGGTTATGACTGAAGACGTGCAAACCTCGTGTTCTGCCGCTGGCAAATACACACCTGCCTTCTGGCTCTCCACAGAGCTTCTGTTTCTGTAGCCAGTGCCGCGGGTCCCCACCCTCCCGCCCCCACCCCGTGTATCTTTCTATAAATATACACTCTCAGGTATGTTTCTGGTGTGCAGGAGCCAGTGGTTTGCTTCTCTAGATGCTTCCTGAGCCGATGTGGCCCCTGTGCCTCCTTTGGACACTCTGTCCAGCAGGTGTGACTTAGCCACTGTCCTCTTCTTGGGGGACCTTTCTTGTAGTTTGGGGGTCTAGCAGGTTTTGCAGAGGCCTGGTGGGGTTCAGACACTTGGAGGGGAGTGAGGACAGTGGCCAGAGTTGGGACCCTGGGACTGTGTCCTCCCAAAGCAGGGAACAACGGGGGGAGTTCGTCAGTCAGTTGGGAACCACGTGAAAAGCAGAAATTTTCGAGGGACTATTTACAAAGTGTGGACAAAGGCTCCTGACAGCATGCAGAATCTGCGGCTGGCCCTGTGGGGCCCACTGCACCCAAGGGTGGAGGGGGTGAGCCAAGGAATCCTCAACAGACAGAGTGGAAAGGGAGGTGGCCAGCATGTGGGGACCCTCCTGACCTCACTCCCCTGCCCCTCTACATCCTGTTGAGACCCAGTTGGCTGAGGCCGCTGAGAGCCGGCAAGAAGGGGAGCCGTTGATCTGGAGGTCACAGGGGCATTGTTCCCCGGCAGAGAGTCTGGAGGGATGCGAGAAGAAAGTGACCAGCTGCCTGCCTTTCTGCTGCTGGGTCTCCCAGCCGGCGGAGTCTTTCCCAGAGCCTCTGGTTCTCGAAGATGGTGGGCTTCGTGGTTGGCACTGCACTGCTAATTGTATTCATTGCTGGCGTTTGCGAGGCTGGGTAAATGTAACTGATCTTCTCCAAAACCCTGTGAGGTGGCCAGCGGAAGCTGGGGGCACACCAGCCTCAGAGACGTTAACTGCAACACAGCAGGTGGCAGGACAGAGATTCTAGTGACCCCTCCACGAGCCCATACTGCTGGACTTGGGTTTCCCTTATTTAGCTTTGTGGGCTTCTGTCAGTCAGGACCAAATACAAACCGACAGGAATGTAACCACGCCAGGAAGGCAGGGAGGGCGCTGACTTTACGACGACGACCCGGGATGTGAGTGAAGCTGGGTCTTAACTGGTTTTCTCTTGGATTTATGCTTCTGCTTGGAGGCTGCCTCCGCCAGGCTAGGCCTGCTGGCACCCAGGCTGCAAGATCAGTGGGCAAAGGACCTTCTGCTCAGGGAAAGGTGGTGATTGGCAGGACATGGATTCTGTCCCCATCCTTGAACCAATCGCCGCGGCCCACCTGAGGTCACGTGTCCAACCTGAGCTGAAGAGGTGGGGTCTGTGCCAGAAGATAGGGGAGGGGGGGTGCTGAGCAGACAGGCCTGAATTCCCGCAACCATGGAAACGAGCCAGGAATTGGGCCCACTCAAGCAGCCTCCTGCCTGGTGGCTTTGGAGTCCTTCCTAGGCCTGAGGGGAGGTCCCCGTGCCACCTCTCCCCACCGCACATCTGTCAGAATCCCATTATTTCCTGGCAGTTGGGATTTACCTAACTTTTAAAAATCATTTCAAAAATAGTAACGTGCACATATACAAGATCCAAATAGGACACAGTAGAGAGTAGCTTCTCTCCAGCACCTGATAGCTGCCCCAGGGTGCCATCTGGGTGGCATGGCACGAGCCCAGACTGGCTCAATGCCACCTGGCTTCCAAGCAGACGCCCTCTCCTAGAGCTTCAGGTGAAACCCCACACCTGTCAAGCCTCACTTTCCCCTCTAAAGAGGCTTCCTAAAAGACCCACCTCACAGGGTTGCTGTGAGAATTTGAAGAGTTAAAACGGCTCCTGGTCCATGTGAGTGCGATGAAAGTGTTAGGGGTCACTTTTCACAAGAATAAATGCATTTATATGCGCTATCTTCCCATCTAAATTTTGTTAATTTTTAAAAAAGACTTTTTCAGAATGATTTTAGGTTTACAACAAAATGGAGAGGGAGGTATGGAGGTTTTCTGTCTACTCCTTACCCCGAGATATCACCCTTACCAACTCTCACCAGATGGTACTTTTTTTAATCAAGGATGAACCCACATTGGCCAGTCACAGTCACCCAGAGTTTACACTGGGGCTCACTCTTGGTGTTGGATTTATAAAGACAGGACCGGACATCAGCACATCACGCAGAGCATTTTCACCGCTCTAAGAATCTTCTGTCCTGGCCTAGTCGCCTCTCCACCCCCAACCCCACCCCAATTTTGTTGCAAGTTTGAGACAAATTGTGTAATAGAAACTTTGAACTCACTACCCAGATTTTACAAATGCAGACATTTTGCAATATTTATTTCAGATCTATTTTTAAGAAGGAAAACACTGCAATTCCTGCTTTAATTCCTTCCCGCCACACCCTTTTATTTTTACTCCAGGAGTAGGTAGTCTTCATACTTAGCCCTTGTTTGCTGTCACCACGTGTGTCTGGAGATCTCCTGCCCTTGCCCCTCTCCAACAGCTGCTCTCCCTTCCCTGGCCTGGAGGTCTGTGAGGATTCGCCTCAGCCAGTCCTGACAGCCTTGGGTCCCCGCCCAGGCCAAGCAGACCCGCTGCACAGAGGGGCCTTGAGGGACCAGCGCCCACCTGCGGCAGCACCAGCACGGCTGGCTCCGGAGCGTGTGTGAATTCAATTTTGGTGCAACTGTTGATCCCGCTAAATAAACTGAACCCAATAATTAGATGTTGAAGACAGAAGAAGAGAGAAAAAGGCCGGGAGGGAGCCAAGAAGAGGGAGTCATTCCCTATGACAGGAAAACCACCAGGAATCAGCCATGCTTCTCGGAGAAGTCTTGAGCACCTTTTCATACAGGCTCAAGTGACTGGGTTTTGCCTTGTCCCAGAGGAGCTGTTGCTGCTTCCCTAGGGCCCTGGCCTCCGAGCATGGGGGTCCCTCTGAGAAGTGAGGGAGACCCCACCAGTGGTGTGCCAGCTTCACACACAGGCACTAGCTGGTCGCTGGCTGCCCCTTTTCTGCAGATCTGTCACGGGGCACGGGGACGATGGCTGTGTCCAAGGTGGCGGTCAGGTGAGGCAGGCAGCCTGCCCTCATCTCCCAGGAGCTCCGGGGGTCAGGGAATCTGGGGGGCTGTGCAATTCACACCCTGCCGTGCCAGTCACGCCTATGGACCAAGGAAACTGCTGGGAGAAAGGCTGCCTTTCCTCTCAGTATTGAGGGGTCAAGTTGTGACTGGGCCAGAGGGAGGCCGCCTCGCCTGCAGCGTGTGTCTGTTGGAGCCAGCACTAGTAACCGGCTTCTGGGAGTCCCGTCAGCACTCTCAGCCCGGGGAATGGAAGGGGGCCCCTAACAGTGCTCAGTGCTGGTGGGCTGTGATGCCTCCCCCCCACTGCCCTCACCTCCGCCCTGAAGGTAGCGCTGCCAGCGCCTGGGCCAGCAGATGCCTGGAGATTGTGTGCCTGCCAGACCCCAAGGCAGCCTTCCCCTGTTGATCCAGCCTAGCAGTCACCCTCCCAGCCCTGCCTTTGCTCCCCAAGACCCATGGACCCAGCCCCTCCATTACCCTTCCCCACGTGCCCACGGCTGTCTTTTCCAGAACCACTCCAGACGGTTCAGCCAAATGTTCTGTGGGTTCCCTTCAGTCGTGTCCGGGGACAAACTCTCACCCGCTTGCCCTCCCTTCCCAGGAGCCTTCTCTGCCGTCACCCCAGCCAAGTTTGGGGAAACTCAAATTCACTCATGACCTTCCTGCGGGAAGCTCTGGGGTGGGAGGGCTGGTGTGACCTGGCCTGGAGCCCCAGCTGCAGGAAGACAGTGCCCGGGCTCCCAGGGTGCCCTGTGTGCCCTTCAGCACAGCGCTGGCTGCGTTTGTGCCAACGGTCAGGTCTCATCATCTGCGGGAGTCAGGTTCTATCCCTCCCACCCCGAATCTGGGAATACCCGGCCACAGCTCCTGGGCACATGCAGTGAGGGTCCCGGGAGCCCCGGGACACACTCGTGCTGCAGTCAGTACACAGCCTTGTCTTGTGTGTCTTTCTGTTTAAAGACGCAAGGTCAACTACATGTTGTCGGTCCCGTCACACGAAGGTCACAGCATCAGCACTATAAATCATGCCGGGTGACAAGAATCTCGCTCCCCTTTTCTCTGTAAGGCCTTGCAGAGGCTTCTTGCCCTGAGAACACAGGACAGCACTTCA